CCTCCTCCACGTCTTCGTCCTCCTCCATGTCGTCATCCTCCTCCGGTTCCTCCTCCCCCTCGTCTTGGTCGCCATCCTGTACTTGCTATAACTTCCCCCACTCCCTTCCCTGCTCATGCCACATGGCGCCTTTTTTCTGTCTTTCTTTTTTTCGGATCTTTGTTGCCGTGTTCCTCCTCTTCGTCGTCCTCCTGCTCCTCACCGTCCACATCTTTGCCCTCCTCCTGCTCCTCCTCCATGTCTTCGTCCTCTTCCCCATCGTCTTGGCTGTTGTCATGTACTCGCTATAACCTCCCCCCTCCTCCCATACCCGTCCCGCATGGCCTTTTCGTTGTTTTCAATCCATTTTCAGACTTCGTTAAGTTTTTCGTATGTGCACTTTTTTTTTCTTTTTTTTTAAATCCGGACATGTACACACATCCGGACAGGCATCGGGACAAGTTGATCCGGACAAGTTGATCCGGACGTGTCTGAATTAACCGGGAATTTCCGGAACGGACGTTCGGATGAAACCGGTAAATCCGGTTTCCGGTGTACGGACTTGTCCGGTTCACTTGTCCACCGCTGCCATGCTTGTATGGGACTACGTATACCGAAGAAGATATTCTGGTGTACACAAAACCCCCAAAGTTGAGCACACATTCTCCATGCTACCCAGATAATAAATTAAAATAAGAAACGAAGTGCAGAATGACATCTATCTGGATTTAGAATTTTGGATAGTGTCGCTCCAATTTGCCGTAAGGATTCGAAGATTCAAGATTTCTATCATTTCGCAAAAGAAAAGCTTAGCAAACGCACCCCCCCTTGGTGGTATCCATGCACAGACAATCCCCTTTTTTTTCCCCTTTTCTCTTCGTTTTTTTCTTCTTTTCTTTTCCTTTTTTTTTCTTCTTTTCTTTTTTTTCTTCTTTTCTTTTTTTTCCCCTTTGTTTTTCTGTTTTTGTTTTTCTTGTTTTCCCTCTAATGCCACTCCGGAGCACAGCATTTTCAATGTAGTAAAAGGTTTCAGATAGGATCATCGATAGTATCACCCACCACTAGGCGCTCGAAATAGCAAAAATAGGCAGGCATGCTGGTGAGCATTAACCCAGAGACCTCCACTCTAGCCCTGCGCACAAAGCGGGAGAAAAACAAACACAGTTAAGGAAAGATTCCAATCAAGGTCTCAGTTTCACTGCTTCTGATCGTGGAACAGAGAGTGCTACCAGAAAATCATCTGCGAAGCGGATGTAATACATCCTTCGGTTCCAATGCGCGGGATTCTGACGCAAAGCGCTGCTCTTCGAGCCTTGTAAAGGGGGAAAAAGGGAGAAGAAAACTGAATACAAAATTGCAAACTGATGTGACGCAAACATCAGTCTCGATGGTAGAACATAAATATGTAAGTTGCAACCCGGGCACACTATGAGTAGAGCCCGAAATTGCTAAAGACCTCATTGCCAATGCCTTGCAATGATCCCATACTTCACACGCGGCTTCACTTCACAACATCACGAGTTCGCGTTTCATCACACCAAACGCCACACACACGAGATGCACACTGGCAGGATACGAGAACACTTGGAAATTGGTCGAACGTTCAAGTCTTCTATAACGACTCTTGTATGCATTGTTCAAAAGTCCATGTCAGGTGGAATCACTGATTTGCTCATAGCGAAGGACTTATGAGTTGACACACCTTGACAATCAACACCTTGGACGGACGGAATACAGGGTAAGTTTGACGGTGCAGAGCGAGATCGGTAACATAGGATGGGCCATGCACCTAATATATATATATATATATAGCTAGAAAAAATAGCAGAATAATTGTAATTCTTTGAAAATCCCATAAATCCCTTCGTTATTGATTAGTTATGTTGTATATCCAATTCATTCGATTTTTTATTTGATAGTATTAAAAGAGAGAAATATCTACTAAAGTAGACATATAAGTAAGTCTATCATGAAGAGGGTTCAGCCTCCTGATGAGTCGGTGAAACTCCAACGAAACAGTTTGTCACAGCCCCTCGTTTGTTGTCCTCTTCTCTCTCTCTGCCTACGGT